TCGGAGCTTATTTTTCTTCCAGATTTTAAATAATAACGATAAGTCATTATTATTATTTAGTACAGTATGGCATGTACTTTTTTGATTACATAAATAATATCACAGTCTGATAGAGCCATTATATGTAGCTATCATTGTATTTCTTCAAAAACAAAATGTTAAAAATTGCAAGGAGGTAGAACAAACATTGCACAGAAATGTATGCTCCTGAATGGACATTTTTCAGTTGATACTGAAACCAGTTCCACGGATCACCTCAGCTCCTGGAACTGTGGGACCTACAAGAGTGATGGGGCAGTCCAATTTGTCTAATTGCTACCAGTCCCCTGGATTAAGACCCTCTTCTTTATCTTATATGTGGAATATATTTTTACTTCAGCAAATGTTTATTTTGCAGTTGTTTTGCTAGAGAGGTTCTGCAAAGGGCAAGCTGTTTTATATGACGTATAAAGTAAGACGTATTTCATATATTGTGCCTTATTCTCACTTTGACTAAAAAGTCTTAAATCTGAAATTAATTTTTAAATTGCGCAATACATTTTAACAAGTAATTGGGTCAACTGCTAAAGCTTATCTTGATTAATTAGATGTGAAATACGCTAATAAAACATTTGCTTCTACGGCTTTTTTAGTTGTGATGTATTATTGCAATAGAAAATCTCATTTAAATATACTTTCTAAATTGTTCTAAAGTAACGATAGCTCCCCACCCTGCTCCCCAGCTTAAATTATATTGCTTTTGTTATCTTGCAATTGTTCCAATATTTCCAAAGGCATTATAGCAAAATGCTGAAATCTGTAAACATAGACATAGTTGTTCTTAAACTGTTATACCAACTGTGGCGATTTCGGCAGCATGTTGACCTGGCAAGGTTCTTGAGAGGCTTCAAATAGTCCACAATATGACAACTAGGATTTTACAGGCTCTAAAAGATCAGGACTTTATAACTGCTCTTATTCCTGCTACATTGATTACCAATTTGCTTAGGGATATCATTTAAGGTACTAAACAGCTTGCGGTTAATTTACTTAAAAGATTAGTTGCTCCTGCACAACTCTGCCTACTCTGTAAAAAAGCTGGAAATCTTCCTTTCAAGCTAGTTTGATATCCACCCAAAGTGAGTCTTCCTGATGACCCACTCACTTCCGTTGTAGGATGTATCCTCTGGTTCCTATCTCCACAGTTTTGAATGGTTTTATTTAATCCATTTTCTAATGGCCTCTGAGTCTGACCTTTCTACACTGTGGTTTTAGCTGTATATATTGCATTTAATATTGGTTTTAAAGAGCTGGTTTATTTTTAAATACTGTTTTGAATTATTTTTGAATTTTTTCAACTTACACCTCTAACTTACAGTATGATCTGAGTAACAACGTTTGGAAATCAAGTTATGTAGGCCACAGCATTTCTGTGACTTCTGTTTTATTTTTACATGTTTCTTAGACAATGAAGAAATCAATTTTGATTTCTAAATACAGAGTTCTTGGGCTGAGCCAGAGTGGGAAGCAAAACCATTTTTAAATATTCCAAGGCAAAATGCAGGAGTCATGGAATTGGGAGGGGTCCTCAGAGAGGTTAAATTTACTAGCTTGAACTACTGAAATATGACAAGCTAAAGCTCACGTTGTAATGTTTGCCACTTTCTGCTGGGGAAAATGTAACTGTTGTAGATGCAGGTCTAGTACAATTACTATTTTGAGTTTACATCCATTATTTTAATTATTTTTAAAAGAAACAGAAGAGCAAGTAAAAGACGGTCACGTTGATTAGATTTTTCACTTTTACAATTCTGAGATGGACTGTAGAGACCTTGACATAAAGAAGAATGAACATTGGGTAGTATTAAGAGAGTAGTTCATCCTGGCCAAATTATGCTATTATACCATAATCATACTGTTAAAAGATTGAGAGATTGGATCAATCCTGTACATATTTGTGGACAACTCTGATCATTATGTAATAGCCTAAGAAGAGTTTGATAAATGGCCATTTAATGCACTCACCAGGCTTCACATTCAACTTGCTGGACTATAGTTCATGCAGTCCTGATTAGGGTCAAATCAAATGAATTTAGTTGAAGGGAATAATGCAATAAATACAATTACTAAGGTTTTTATTATTGTGGGGACTTTTAGAGATCATACTGCCTTTGTTTTAGAATCTTTTCCTTAAAACAGAAGGAGGGAATCTGCACTCCTGCAGAAGAGGCTAAACTACACGTCCCAGCAAACTCAACCAGCCTGAGCAATGATGAGGGAAGCTGGAAACTGTATCTCAACAACTTCTGGGAGTCACACTACCACCGTTCCAAAAGATGTTCAGAAATATGGAACTGCAGGGTAGGAAATGAAGAGAGCTATCATTTGCTAAGCGAGCCTCTTTCCCTCTCAGAGAGGAAACAGTTAAACTCAGTGGACCAAGCGGAGAGGAAGCCACGTGATGGAAAATCTTGGGTGGTTGGTGGGGGGGGAGGCTGAGTTTTGTAAGAGCCTGGAGGACAGAACTTTCCAACCGCAAGGGAGGAAGCAGCAGGTTCCCTGGCCAACTGCTGCCTTTGGATGTGAGCAGGCCTGCACACAGATAACCCAGAAAGGACACATAGACTGATTCCTTGCAAGGGGACAGCAGTTTGTTCCGGAACAGGAGAAACCCAGCTCGGTCTCACGAATGGCTTAGCATACCAGCTCCAGCGTGAACCAAAGCCACGCATTGTAATACGATTTCCAGATGGGTGCCAGCAAAAGAACAAAGAGCCATAGGGCATTTTAGTGACAAACCCATTTTCTTTTTGTGCTTAAGAAGCCCCTTGATGTTTTGACACAGAAATTTTGTTGCAGGCGCACAAGCGTGCAACAAAAGGAGAAAGAATATTAAATAAACCTGCAAGAACAAAGAGTTTGACCCTGGACAAGTAATCTGTTGGTATTTTTTTCGCAAGTTACCTGCTTCTTATTGACACCACAATCTTTGCTTTTAACAATGTGCCAAAAATAGCAAATCAGAGAAACAAAGGAAATCTAGTTTCCTAATATAAGTCACACCAATATTGAAACTTTATCACATGACAAAACGCAATATGTGTGCTATAACCTGCTGCCTTGGGGAATCTCTCAGTTTAAGAAAGCTTGAAAAGTAAAAGGGGAACAATCCTGCGAGAAAAGTTAATCGTTCATTAGATCCCGGACTAAAAGAACAAAGGACCTGTCAGCATACATTAGATGGGACACATATTTATTTACATGCTTCTAGACAATGGTGATACTCTAGCTCTCTTCAGGTGTTATGAAAAGGGACCACATTCTACCCCCATTCAGAAACAGGATCTGTGGAGGCTTTCCTCCTGAGTGAAGATCCTGATTTTCCAGGCTCCTCCTGACATGGATAAAAAGCTGGCACTGAGAGAGGAGGTTCTGCCCTACAAAGGCCCACACGGAGGACCAGGAGTAGCATACCGGACCCTGACTCTTCCGAACGTGAATAGAATCACCCTGTTTTTAAGAGGGCCTGAAGAGGTTTTCTACTTAAGCAGTTCAACTGTAGGTGGGAGTGGAATGAATGGACACGCAATGGTGTGCCTTGATGGGTACATATTAGTAGTATATAAATATGTAAAGTTTAGTCTCTTGCTGGATAACTGGAACATAGACCTTTTTAGTCTTGAGAAGCTTCCACAATGTTAATGAGGAAGACTGGAGTTATCGTATGGAAAGTGAAGAAAAATAGCTGCAGCTAGAGATGACAACAGTAGAAAAAAACTTAGCCAAACGCTCTGGTTCAGCATCCCACAACTGTAGCAGCAAAAGCCAGGAATAAGAGACTCTGATTGCCCACCTCTGGATAATTACCTTTTGGGGACTCCATCTCTCTTTTCTTCTTTTTTACATTTAGGACTTTCCTTACAATTGCCCAAATAGTTCATACTAGTTCCTTCCCTCTTTCTATCTCTTTAATAACTCAATCATTTCCAGTATCTTTAAAATTCTCATTAGCATTTTAATGCATAAGGCTTCCTGAAGCTATTTTTTTGCAGGTAACATTTTAATTTCAAAAAAGAATCTCTGCACTATTTATATGTATAATGGTTTATGCGGACGTAGTCACTTTTCCAGACATTAAAGAGCTATGCATTCCCCACTGAATGCACCAGGGCTTATTTCTGCATAGAGAAGCAGCCATTATTTTATGAGCCATGTTTAAGTGACCCATTCATGCAAGCTCCCCCAAATTCTTAAGCTTAAAATCTTTCTGTCCAAAAACTGAATATCTATATATTTCAAGCTAGGCAGTTAACTACTGCTCTTTCACCTTAGCAGCCCCAAAACACCACTAGTTGATATGGCCTCTTTTAAACATCTTCAGACTCTTCCTGCAAGCCATCACTTGCAACTAAAGACAATTGCATGACTTGAACACACACACACACACACACACACACAATGTTTGGCTTTATTTACCATTTTGCCTGAGAAAGACTTCTCTAAGAAGAAGCCCACATTCAAGCTATCTAAGATGTGTATGTTGGTTCTTTTTGTGATCTTAAATGCCAGCCATATTTTTACCTCTCTTTTTAATTATTTGGTTAACTGCTTTGTTTTCTTTTTAAGTAGAAACACAAGAGAATGAAAATATTTTAGAGCAAAAAAAGCTTGCATACTGTACAGATTTTGGAGCAACACATAACGTTCTTTCATATGCTCCAGATGAAGGAATGTCTTTGTAAGGGCAAAAGTATTCAGACTATCATTCAGAAAACCCTAGAGGGTCCTAAAGAATCCTAGAGATGCTAGGGACCTAAGTGGTCATAGAATCCAGTCCCCTGCAGACTGCAGAATTCACTGCACCATCCCCACTAGATGACTATCCAGACCCCGCATGCAAAGAAACCACCAGTAAACATACTGCACGCAGTGCCAACACCCCTCAGCTGAGGCTCAACGTGGATAGGAAAGTCAGAATGGGGGTGCAGCTAGAGGCAAAAACAGGCGGGCTTTCTTCGTACCTTTCTGTGGTGGGATCGGAGCAGTTGAGGGGATACCTCAAGTCTATGATGGTTCCATCTTTATCCTGCAGGGATCCCTGTTGCTGCGTATAATATTCCACCAGTTCTGATAAAGTGGCAAACTTCTCTCCTCCATAGAGGTCATAAAAATCCCCAGTATTCTGGATACGGATGTGAGTTACTTGATCGCCAACCCTAAAAGAGAGAGGCAGAAGCTTCTCATCAGTTGACGGCGCTAAGAAATAGGAAGGGAAGAGCAAAGAAGAAAGAGGTTCTTTTCACCATTTCTCCTGACAGGAATTCTAGGCAGAAATAAAGGCCCTCAGGGAACTGGATGGGTTTACTGGTCCTTGTACCGACCAGGGCTTATCCTCAATCCCATGACATATTAATTGAATATGGAGCCTAGTGATTCTAATTGTTGATGTACTGGGGAGTGTTGTTTAGGGTGCTGGGATTTGGGGTTGTTTGTTTTTTGGGGGGAGGGACATTGTTCTTTGGCTTTTACTGCTGCTTTTGTAAGCCGCACAGAATTGTGGCACATAAGAAGGGTGGCCATATTTCTCTTTTAAATAAAGAACTAAATAAATAATATCGAGTTTTGTGGAAAGATAGCTAAAAGATTGTATGCTTGGCTCCCCATGGCATTTTTCCAATTGTCATTTCACTGGAGAGATTTTTTCATGCTTTCTATGTGAAAGCAGGCAGACGCTAAGGCATTAGAAGCACCAATGACATTTTTACTTACTGCAAATTTTTAAGTAGTACTATTCTTCAGAGGAAGGTTTATTATTTAAGATTAATAGGCAAGTGAGTGGAAATACCATTTTGAAAGAGAGTGAGAAGTGAAGTCACTTTACTTAAACGGAAGCCAGCTTGAAAATTAACACGGGAGCCAGAAGATGTGGAAGGAAGTCTTCCTGCTCCAATGTCTGATGACTTCCCCAAACCATGAACATTTTTTCAAAGAGTAAAAGCATGGATGCCATTAGCCTTGTGAGCGGCTTGTTTTGTTTTGAGGCCTGTTCCCAGAAAAGTCAGTAATGTGCCACCAGCAGATTTATTTCAGGGAAGGTTGTAGGGAGACTCAGCCTCTGAACTTACCACCAAGCCTCTCTTCCAAACTCAAAAAAAAAAAAAAGCAAAAGGCTTCATCATTGGTCCTACTCTGGGCAAAACCTCAGAGAAAGAGGAATCCGTCCTCAAGTTTGTTTGGCAAACTTTGGAAAGTAATAAGCTCCACAAGAGCCAGCTTCACTTGCAGTCTTTCCATTCCTCCTTTTCTCTTCCATCCTGGCCTTTGACACTTCAATTCCAATGTGTCTTGGGATATTATTATTATTATTATTATTATTATTATTATTATTATTATTATTTTAAATGTATTATAGCTGCCCACTCCCATAGACTCTGGGAGTGATACATGTTTTTAACAATCAACCATGGGAACCATCCTGGTATGACATTGCCTCCATATATTACAGAGTGGAAAGTCTTTGAGTATATACCGACATGGAGTACTTTTAGAGAGGGAAGATTGAAGAGGTGGAAGGTAACATGAGACTCAAGGAGAACAATGGAATATTATCAAAGGATTGGAAGAGGGTGGGTGTCAATTACCTGACAGAAAGGGAAAAGTCCCCTTTGTTCTTCCGGCTGGGCCGGGCCAGAAAGCTGCCATGAATTCCTCGTGCTTTGAGTAAGGCCTCAGCATCTATGCCACTCAGGTCACGATGAAACCACCTGGTTGGTGGAAGGAAGGGAGGAAAGTAGAAAAGAAGGACATCACAAATGGGGGAAAAACAGGGTAGACCGTGTCTGCGTGGTCCAGACCTCACAAGGCAGATACCTCAAACCTCTGCCACAATCCAAGAATGATCAGAAAGTAGACGCTGGGTTTTTGTTTTGTTTTTTTCATTCTCTCCCCTGCCCCTACATTCAGCACAGCGGTGGCTCCCACTGGCATGTTCATAATTTAGAATCAGCAACAAGTCGATGAGCCAGCGCAGATCAACCCAGGTAGACAGAACCTTCGCTTCATCTTGAACACAGCACTTTCAGGTGTAATCAGTTTGCACATTCCATGCTCGGTCATTAAGCATTAAATAATAGAGTGGTAAGTAACCAAATCATCTCTCTACGTAGAGAGCGGGTTGCCACCTTTCTAACTGAGCAGCAGCCAAACAGATATGCAGCTAGTGAAGCTCTTCCTAAGCTAATAACAGTAGTGGAAGAAGCTCTACTGGTTACATTTCTGCTAGATCCTAAAGATTCAGTAGCAGTTTTTAGTTTTCTTAAAAAGTGACTGTATAATTCATGCGGGAACTGTCAACTTTACTCAGGAAAAGAAAACTGTTAGGCAGTGATGCTTGAAGATGTAGCCCCAACCCCCAAATCGATACAGCCAGATGCAACACAACGATCTCTTCCAGCAACTCACTCTGTCTTCCGCATCACACACATGCTCCTGCAGAAGACAGTCCCTCCCAGTTCAAGAAAACATTTCAAAACCTGCTTAGAGAGAAAACATTAATCTGGGATAGGCAATCCTAAATTTTTTCCTTACCTCATTATTTTCCAGGGGACCAGTGGCAAAATCAAAAGTCCAGTAAAAAAAAATGAAAAAATTAACTGACGAAGTGCCTTTGAAGATGACAATAAAGGAGAAATGGGTGCTTAATCTCTCAGCGAGACTTTCCAACTGTGAATTCTCCGTTCTTGCCTCTACCCATCTACCTCATGCATTTCCTCTGCCCATCACGCTTTCATAGTCTGCTCCACAATCAGTCCGTGTTGATAGGTATGGACAGAAAGAACTGAGGCAAACAGACAGTTCCAAGTTGCTGTGCACTGTTACAGGAACAGGAAGCATATCTAACATCGTTGTTCTTCACTGCAAGTTGCAATGTGTGCACTTCTGCTTCTGCTTTTGGATCCTTTTTCTCCTTCTGTCCTATCCTCTTTGTTCACAACTATTTCTGTGTTTCTTGCTTTCTTGCAGGGGGGAGGGAAGAATTCACGAGAAATGAGCACAAGGCAGTCCATTTAATTATCACTAGTGGAGAACCAACACCAGCACTAAATGGAACATGATTAAAAGCAATGATATCCCAAGAGTATGTAATAAATGTACGAAATGTAGTAAATACAAAAGGATTTGGTGGAAATCAGGCCTTCAACAGAGAAAGAACCAACTTTAAATATGTCAAGTCCCAGTTTCTTAATGCTGCAGGGTACTTGTTGCTTCCATAGGAAATCCCTTTACCATGCTGCATTATTTTTTCTCATTCAGTGGAATGAGGTAGAATTTATAGAGAGGTTCCCCACAAGACTTAGCCTACTGCTATATTATGCAGTAATAATATCCTTCCCCCCAGCCAAGAAACTGTCTATTAGATCTAGTCCAATTTAAGCCCAGCAAAGGTGTTTTTCCCTGATGTTAATATAACATGTCCTTTTGCAGGACCTGCTCGTTCTTCTCATTTGGGTACTTGAATGCTCCCAGCCCCTTGAATGGCCTTCAGATGGCCTCATCCCCTGGCAGGAGAAAGTTTTAATTACTGATTTCTCCTCCAAGAAGAAATACTTTACTCTAAAAGTGAAACGAAATGAAAAGGGGGAAAAAATGCACCTCCCTACCTTGAAGGGAACTTAAGAATAAGATTTGGCTCAAATAGCTAGCATTTTTAGCATATCTTTAGGCAAGACTGCCCAAGCAACCTAAGTAAATACTTCAAGATCAAATAATGGTCTCCACTTGAAGCTGTAGAACAGAATTCATAGATGGAAAAAGGATGCCCTTATCACAAAAGTGTCCACAGTACAGGTTTCAAGTACAGAATTCTCAAACAGGTTGACCTTAAAATAAAAGGAGAACAATTAAAAATGTGTGTATACATGTGGTTTGGTATTGCTAACCACTTTCACATCATATGCCTGCTTTCTGGTTACACAGAATCTTCTATCTGGACAGTTAAAAAAAAAGGAAAACAATGTTCCTAGAATAGGATAAGATGAGACGTCAAAATGGTTACTCTTTTATATGATTATTGTTTTCATCTGAAAACTGAAAAATATTTTTGTTGAACGTAAAAGCCTGGGGATTGTATTCTAAACTTTGATCCTAACAGAGATAATATTTAACTCCACCAGCAGATATTTTTAGCACTGATAATAAAGCAGTGTGAGTTCTGATGGCTAACTGCAAGATATAATAACTCCATAGCGTGCAGCTGGTCTTCTGATTTGTGTTTACAGTGATTGAAGTGTGTGTGGGTCCGGTCCTGATCACGATGACCACATACAGGTGAAGGGAGCTTAAATTCTCAGCCCAATCATTTGTTTTTCAAATTGCCATAGAGATGTTTTCTTTGAAGATTCCATTAATGTCAATCGAGATCAAAAAAGAAAAAAAAAGCTATGCAAGAGTGGGAGGTTTTAGTTTCCTGTCCCCACCCTATGTGCTGTAGATCCCCTCCACACATTTTCACAAATGAAAAAATAACCAGACAGGCAGCTGCCAGCTACATACATAATTCAGCTTCTCGATTAGCGCCCCCCCCCCCAGCGGCATTCCAAAGATTTCTTGTACTGTTTGAGGGATGTGGGGAATGCAATGCTCTCAGCCATGGACACTCTCAGAGCTCTACAATACTGCAATGAGTGCTTGTTGATCAGCACACTTTTTTTGCAAAAACAAAAATATTTGGATCAGCCCAGGTCAAACCACTGCAGGAAACCTAGGGAGGAGCTGTGTGTTCCCTGCCTTTGACCTGCACTGCTCTTTTGCAGAGTGGCACTTGGTGGGGAAATTTGGAGAGAGGGAAGAAGGGAAAAAAATGAGGGTTGAACTTATTGGCTACTCTTACCTTTGGCTTTCCCCAGCTGGAAGTTAACACTTGATAGTAAAGACAAAACAAGAATAGAAAGTAGGGGAAAGACTTATGAGGCTGCAGGGCACTGCATTCAATTACTGCTCCAACCGGCTCGGTCTGGCAGCAGTGCAAGTCCACAATGCAAAGTCTTTCCTAGATTTAGCTACCTAAGTTCATTGGATGAAAGACACCAAGGCAGAGTTTTCCAGGGTTTGGGGCCTGAGACTTTTCGGTGCATTGGTAAAAATGACTATGGGTGAGTTTGCCGACTCACAGTAGATGGCTGACTATAACCAGTTACACCCGTACTCCTTACCACACTATACCCTCTCCTCTTCAGTCCAGCAGGATGCTCTGCTCACTGCCAGCAAGCAAGCATTCACCCAGCAAAAGCATGGAGCCACAGCATTAAAATTGGTTTTCTAGGAAGCTTATGAGGCCCATTTACGTTCCGGGGGAATTTTTGGGACTAAAAATGTTGCTAGAGATTGGTGCTTTGCTTGGCAGCATCTTTTTCAAAAGGTAAACGAAAGTTTTGATGTAAAGAATCAAGCAAGTTCTCTTGGTAGGTACTAAGAGAGATGCTGAGCTGCATTTTTCGATATCAGGCCACTTGGGGCAGTGTTTCTCAACTTTAACAACTTCAAGATGTGTGGACTTCAACTCCCAGAATTTCCCAGCCAGCATGCTGGCTGGGGAATTCAAGTCCACACATCCTGAAGTTGTCAAGGTTGAGAAACTGGGTTAGGGAAAGCTATCTGAAAGCAACTGTGACTGAACCCATCTTCGGAACTTCAAGAGGCAATTCTTCAAAGTTTCTGCTTCTCTTCACACATTCTCTCTCCTGTGGAGAAGTCTACTCTTCAACTTGCTTAGGGCCAAATGAACAGTCACTGCTGGGTAAGGCAGACCTACATGATGGAGTCTTAACTAAGGAAGCCTGGGAAGACAAGTTACTGGAGGCTACGGTCCTTCAGGGAGGAAGGTAAACAGAGAGGACAGGCAGCAGATGCAAGGATCCATGGATAAATATGCAAATCACCCTCCAGCTCTTTTTTTAGTATTTGTCTTAATGCTTTTAAAAGTTAATATTATTTCAATCAATTCATCTGGCTGCTTTAGAAATGAAAACAGTACTGTGTAAGGTTAAGTTATCCACATCTCTTATTTGATAGTCTTTGCTCTCTTGACTGTACTAGACTACTAAACAGCATTGCTATGAGGGCTCTTACATTTCAAGACATCACCAAATTTCCCTATTCTTCTAAAACATCAAGATATAGTAAGCCTATTTTATTTACACCTACATCTTCACCTTCTCTGTCAACATTGTTTATTGAGTTTTTGCTATCACTACTATTTACTAACAAGCAATCCACAAACTCTGTGCTTCCCTTTTACAGTCCTTGTCAATAATGAGTTAAGCTGACCCATTGTAAAAATCAGCTTTATACCCTGACATTGTTCTAATCACATTGCCACCACATCCTATTCATGCCTTACGTCTTAAAGCACGTCCAGTGGGGCTTACCTCCAGGAAAGTCCGTATGCATTTGTAGCCCTAGCATAGCTAAGCAGCTGGGCTACTATATTGCTCGAAGAGGAAAATGAACACCTGCCCGTAACCATTTGCATGTCAACACCAGTCGGGGAAAGCACTGTATGCATCCTTAATTCTTGCTACAGTTACAGATACGATAAAAAGAGAAGCCTAAAACGGACAAACCTTCGCTGATGCGCCCGCCTTACACTGAAACAGAAGAGGCGGAGACCTGAAAGTTACCTGCCCGAGCTAGACGCCTCTGCCCTAGTGAATAGGTGCGGTGGAAGGAAGGCGAATTCAAAAGGCTGATCCCGATACAAAAGACTCCATTCTTTCCCCCGCTCAAGGTCTTCCTGAGCTGGAGTTAATAAACACCTCGGGAGGAAGAGGCTGAGTCTGAGACAAGCAGCAGGTAACCAAGGGAGGGGCGGTCTGCTGTCCCCGCCCCATCGACCTGCAGGGGAGGCCCTCCCGGGGTAGACCTGGGAGGCGCGAAAGACGCCTCTCTTCGTCCCTGAGCCCGCTGCCTCATCAACTGCGAGTCTTACCCTCCTCAAAACGTCGGAGTTTCGGCCCTTTTAAACCCAGAGGACTTTCGCTGTTTCCGCCCCGTTGTAGGTGTGCTCTTGTATTTAGAAGCTCATCTACTACCTTTGGCTCAAACTTACTTACAACAGGGAGGGGGGTTCTTTTCATTAAACTTCTTTTTATCTCTTGGCATACAGGAGGGTGCGCAAGGCTGTATTGCCAGCTTGGACTAAGGACAGGAGGGCATCCTTTGTGTTCTACTTAAATCGATTATAATCTAGCACACACTCTTCTGAGCAGTTATCAATCTGCCTTCTGTACTCTAATGATAGAGCAGCTGTCTTGGTTGTGCTGTGCAGAACTACTGAGTTCTTTTTAAAATGTATTTCTTGGGATTGAATTTTTACGGTGTATTCCCCACCATTCCACAGGTCCGAGCACATGATGCGATCCTGAACACCTGCAGAAATGCAATCGTATAAATGATCTGTAGTTGTCAATGCAGAGAGAATGTTGAAAAATCTTTGATTTTTGAGGCCTTTAGCAATGTTAGCCCCCAAGTGCAGACAAAGTGATATATCGTATATATGCGTAGATAAGCCCATCCAGATATACCCCCAATTTTGGGGGTATGTTTTTGAACCTAAAATTCTCAGCTTATCCATGAGTATATACAGGATCAAATTATTGTTGACAGGAATTAGCTGTAGCATTGGTCAGAATTTTTTCAGGGGACAGGCACCATGGCGTCATTTCATACGATGGGTGGATACCCCAAACTCAGTGCCCCCAGTATTGTGAATTCTTGAGGGATCACAGAGTTTTGTCTACCTCAGATTTCAGCCATGTAATTCTTATTTTTAAAAAATTGAATCTAGATGCCACTCTAGATGACACGCTGCCCCATGACAGAATTCTCAATTTCCTGGGTAAAGGAAATTTTTGTTCAATGAGCATGCCACTATCATAGAATTCACTATGAATTTAGACATGACAGAACTTGATAGTGATTTTGATTCTCATGACAAAACATAAGTTTGTGGTTTTGATTCTAACTGCCATGATTTATGGCTCAAATGGGCTTTATAAACCCACCCAGTTGTGGTTTATTGAATAAACTATGGCTAAACAATATCAGTTAGAGTGATACTAACTTGGCCAGCTTTAGAAGGGATCTAACCACTCAGGGGCAAAAAAGTCAAATTGTGACTGTGCAGTATCACAGGCCAAGAAAAGCAGGGCTTCAATTGCCCGGTGGCAGCTGCCATCTTGGCATCCCTGCCCAATCAATCAAGAACACGACCAATGACTATTCTCTCTCTAAAGCCGTGTTTCTCAACTTAAACTTAGCAACTTTAAGATGTCTGGATTTCAACTCCCAGAATTCCCCAGCCAGCACGCTCGCTCACACTCTGAGTCAGTCAGTCAGTCAGTCAGTCAGTCAGTCTTTATTCATTAGCCTTCTGGCCATTTCAATTTCATAAAAACAATCTAATACCATATTAATATTTCTGAGTCAGAAATATGATGGGACATATTTACAAGATGTTTTTATTCACAAGCACCAAATACAAAACAAAAAATTCAAATCAAGGACTATAGACAAAAGTCAAAACCCCTCTTCCATGAAAATGAAAGAAAACAATGCCCAAGTTCCATCCAAGTAAGACTGATGTGATAACCTAAAAACAGTAAGGACAAGCAGTCCCACCAGGGGCTGCCTACTTCATGATGTTGCCACCCCACCTCCTGTCCCAGCCCCATGGGGAGGCAGAGTCATTGGAGGCAGAAACATAGACTTCAGCTTCCCAGACATGCTTGCAATTTCTGGATCCTGAGATTCGTATGATTTTATCATTCTGGCAAACTTTAGGACCCCTAGAAAAGAAAAACAGCATTGGTAAGATAGCACTGATGCCATATAGCTTTTCTTATTATCTCTGTGGACTGGGCAATACAACCCAGGGTGGGTAACTTTCCTCTGATTCTTTTTCTCTGCCAGGAATTTTTTCATTATTTATTAAAAGAAAATACAGAAACACCATCTTGCCTTCTTGCTGTTAATTTTCTTGACTTGATCATGGAGAGGGTCCAAGAGTAGGAAAAAAAACAGGTCTGTGGCTGTTGGCAGCCCATGAGTTGGCCATTACTAATGCAACAGTTGCCTTCCATGGCCCAGGTCATTGGGTATGCTGGGTAACCAACCAGGCACAACAGCTAAAACCAGCTTTTCCCTGCCACTGCCCAATAATTCAGCCCTGAACTTACCTTCCCCATCATTACTAAAACCATAGGCTTTGATCACATCCTGTTGTATCTGGGTAGCCACAGGAAGCAGAAACTGAAGCATCTTCCCCATGTCATTGCAGGCATTGTCCCTGGCCTCCTCCAGTCGCTGAGCATTTTCCGGAGATCCAAATGCCTTGATCACTTCTGCCAAAACAACTAAACAGAAAACAGACATGCTGTAAGACAATTCCCACCAGTTGAAGTCTGTGAGCCTTAAGAAAAGCAGCTTGTTTCTCTCCCTAAGAAGTGCAATATTTGAATTGCAACCTTTGCTCAAAGGGGAATGAAATGCAAACAGCCATCTTAAGACAGCCAGGGGTAGTCTAAAGCAGTGTTTTTCAAACTTGCCAAGTTTAAGATGTGTGGACTTCAACTCCCAGAATTGAGTTGAAGTCCACACATCTTAAACTTGCCCATGTTTGAAAAATACTGGTCTAAGGCCATTTCATCAGAAGTCACTCGTAGCATCTGCTGAGCCACAGCATCCAGCCACTGTTGTGCCAATAGAACACTGTCAAGGACAAGCACTGCCGGGGAACACTAGAAGATGCTATACATTATTAGGAAGAAATTGGCCACAATGTGGTTCACAAAACAATACCTTGTGGGCTAGAATGACCTAAGCTTGGTCAAGACATAAAAGAAATTCTGTTCACTATTTCACTTTTCTCAAAAAATGTAAATGTTTTCAAAAGTGTGCAGCTGAAGAGATAATGTACCTCTCCAACATCCCCCCCCCCGCCTTAAACTGAAGAGTTAAAACTGTCCTGTCCAGGCCTGTACAACAGGGTTCACTGACCTGAAATTTGTTACGTGCAAAATAATAACGTGTTATTCAAAACTTCACTTTGAAGCTTAGAGTCACTATGTGAGATGGGCAGCTATACAAAGGTGCTAGACAGACAGACAGACAGACAGACAAGCAAGCAAGCCTCATTTACGAGAGACCTTTAGGGCCAAAATCCATGTCTGGTTGTTCACTTAAAGTACTTTCCTTTAATCAAGAACAGAAACACAATGCCCTCACAAATGGACTTCTGAAGGGAAGAAGGCTACAGAACTCCTTTGGGAAAATGTATTTTCATAGGAACTGGCAATCAGCTATTTCTCAAACTGTGGTCAGAACTCCAAGACAAGGGACCTGGAGACTCACCATTTTAAAAAAATTGATTAGGTTGCACAGGCAGAGTAGGAGCCCCCTCTGCAAAACTTGCTCAAGGCTGTGGTCCTCCACAAACCACAGGGGGCAGTTCTGGTACCCAGATTAGAGCCCATGATTTATAGATTTAAACCTTAAATATTAGAAGTGGCCCATTTCTTGCCCCCAATGAAATCATCCTTTTTATGGGCGGGGTCGCACAAACCTCACTTTAGGGGGCCACGGACCCCTGATGCACTTTCCTCCCGCCTGTCAGCTTGTCTGACGGGCAGGGCTGTTGACTTGGGCCGGGGCTCAGCCCCAGCCCCAGCCCCAGCGTCGACGACAGCGGCAAAGAGCTGGGCCAGCGCTTTGGGGGGACGTGGCTTTGGAGCAGGCGAAGAAGAGAGCCCTTTCCGAGGCACGGGCGCCCCTGCGGTCGCACCGCCCTTTCTCTCTCCAGCCCTCTCCACCCTGACGCCCCCACGGAAGCTGCCCCGATTTGCCGGCTCACCTTTGGCCTGCTCCGCGCTCAGGGAAACCGACTGGGCCTGGGCCGCAGCAGCCACGGGGCGCTGCAGGCTGGACATGCGGCGGACAGAGAGGGGGAAGCGGCGGGGGCTCTGACGGCGGCGCGGGCGGCGCCCTCTCCTGCGCTGCCTGCCGGCAAGGACTCCCGCTCGCGCTCCCGCAGCCCACCCCGGCAGAGAGGCGCCCCTTCTCGCCCGAGTCCCGCAGAGAGACGAGAGAGCCCTCCCGGCTCGGGAATCCGCGTCTCCGCCTTCCCACTTCCGGGCTACAAAGCGGAGGGGCGGGAGCGCGCTTCTTGCGGCTGCGCCGGCCTCTCTTTTCAATCCGGGTTAGGAGAACAAAGTCAGGGAGGACGAGCGCAAAGCGGAATAGCCGGGGAAGGCCTTCGCTGGGCGGTCGTATCTCGGAGGATGGTATTTCGGGGTGATTCCCGGGCGGGGAGGACGAGTCTCCTCTCCAGCGCCCTCCCGTGGACCGCGGCCGCTGTGGAAAGAAGCAAGTTGGCTGCGGCAGAGATCATTTTAAACCGTCCCTCCTGGCGTTTTCCCGCTATCCCGCATCGGGCGAACGTTGAT